ATACTAAAGGATCTTGATGCATGTGATTTTGAAGGAAATAGAACAAAGTTTATCCTCCTCCTCTTTCAAAGAAATGATAACTTCACAATCTCATAGAGGGAGAATAGTGGAAGCTTGTGTAGGACCTGCTTACTATAGTAGCCAGTTCAGTGCTCTGTCTCTGGTAAACGTGGTTACCTATCTGTCCCTGAAGGCTGTGCTCTGCCCCCAAATGCCCTCCTTATAGGAAAAACCAGATTCAGGGGCTCAAGGTAGTGATATGCCCTGGGAGTGTAGTGTCTGTACTCTGGCCTGAAGGAAGGTGCTTGGTGGAGCTGTAGACCCTGGCTCTCGCTGGTGACCTGAGCTGACGAGATAAGCTGAGTTCAAAGGAGCTGACTGAAACATTAAATTAATAGAGAAGAAATCACTCAACACAGAAGTAGTTTTCATATTGAGGGTAGGATGGCTCTGCAAACTTCAGGGTCAGATTCCATGCTGGAAGGGACTAGAAAGAGAGTGTGCACCCAGAATCTATTTTTTTGGGGGGGAGGTGGGGGTGGGGAGGGACACGCAAAAGAGAGTCAATGGAATGTTGTTCACCAAATAAGGCTTCAAAGGTGGAGTCTGGCTTTGTGATGTCTTGTGGTCAGCAGATTAATTGACATTTTGGCAAGTCACACCCATCTTAGGTGAAGTGTGAGATCACAGGCAAAGCGAGAGGAGAGGCACACTTGCATCGCACAACCCAATTAGCGTGCAATGCCAGACCTGTCCCCTCATATAACGTCAATGTGCATAGTTCAAACACACAGCCCATGGATGGCTCGTGACACCTGGCTACCAGAGGTGCGACAGGACTGGGTGTCCAGGTCAAGCTCATACTTGCCCCACATTCCCTCACAGTAACTTGGTGCCAATTTGGCATGAAAGGCTATCTCTAGTAGGTGCCACCACGGCACTGGCTGAAGAGTTTCTTCTGATTCCTGCCTTTTCTCTGTTCTTGTAACTTCTCTTAACTCCTATGCTTGCAGAGTTTGTTGTTTTGGATATAACTTCTCACTAATAATTGATGGGGACAGATGGGGAGCACCTGGCTGGAAGTTACCTCCAGCTCATGAACTGCTAGATGTGCTCACAGTTCTGCAGCCATAGCCATCCAAAATCTTCCTGTGCATCTCTGCAAGTCAGAACCATTCTGGAAAGCTTGTCTTACCCCTGGGACATTTCTACTTGTAGGAAGAAAGGAGGTCTTTCTTTCTGTCCTATCATTTGCTCAAGAAAATGCTGATGGGAAGATATGGAATAAGAAGTATCAGCTGGGTTGAAAAGGTCCACTCATGGCCAAAAAGTGTTGGGTGTGGACTTCCCCTGCATGCTCACATCTAGGTGTTTTTGTTTTTGAAATTAATATTTTAAGAACTTTTATGTGTGGTTCCCAAAGGTCTATAAAAGCTGAGGATTGAGTTCCTTGATATTGCAGAAGGCATTTGGGTCATGAATGCTAGGAAGAATTCTACTCACCCAAGTTTCTTGTCTAGTTTTCCTTTCTGTTACAATCAAACACATGATGCCTATAAAATAGAGTGTATATCCCATGCACATATTTGAAAGATCAGTGATCTCTCTTTATCACTGATATCATCTTTGAAGCCTTCTGAGTGTCTGCCTCTCCCCACAAATATTACTTATTTTCATGTTCTCAAAAATATTTTGATCTCACTGGCTTATATTTCTGAATGGCATCTTATTTCATATTGTCTATTTTATGCTGTTCTATAAAAAGTCTTGTGCTTTCTTCCACCCTTCAACATTAAGTTTATTGGATAGGTGGTGTGCCTATCAGTCATTCCCTTTTTTTCACTGCTTTATTTATTTGTTCATAGGACATCCAATACTAAGTTCATCAGTATCTCATCCTCTCTACTGTCAGTGGGCATTGAGGTGGTCCCCATTTTACTAACATGGAATATGCTGTTGGAAGCACCCCACATGTCCCTAAGCACAGGCCTAATGATTTCTCTGGAAGACACCCTTAGCGTTGGGCTCGCTAGGTCACAGGATCTGCACACCCTCCATACATAGTCTCATTGGAAATAATGCTAATCAATTGATTGATGCAACTCTGTACCCAGTGGAGTTCACAGCACACAATCAGTCCCAAAGTTTCCACTACCTACTCCTACACAGTAGCACTCTATAAAATAATCTAGGTGCTATTGTTTCTCTTGACTCAGCCATTTGTTCCTGCCTGAGCTCTCTGACCCATATTCATTCCCTGCTCTCATTTCCTTCTGCTCATCTCTAGTCCATTTGTCTCTGAGTCATGTCTTTGAGTTGGGTTCTCAGTTGGGTGATTTTTCATTTGGCACCTCCACAAATCTGTGCTCCCATGAGCTACATATTCTACAGAAGAAAGCAAGAATTTTCCTAATGTGGTTTTGACTGAGGCTCTGCAGTGCTGTAAAAAGATTACATAGTAGGGTGGCTTCAGTTAATGGTAACTATAAGACACACTTCATAATATCTAAAAGAGAGGATTTCCAATATTCTCACCACACACAAAAGAAATATGTAAGGTGATATTCTAATTACCTGATGTGATCATCGCACAACATGTACACGTACCAAAACAACATATTATACTCATAAATATGAATAAATACTGCATGTAAATTTTTATAAGGGAAAAGTTCAATTTGTTAGGCATCTAATTTGTTTAGACCAGTAGACTTTTTTTAAATTTATTTTATTTTTAATGGTTTCAGGTCTTCTCTATTGTTTATAAGTAGTAGTTTTGGATTGTATTTTCACAGTATTTCTTTTACATACATATTATCTTCATAACATCTGGCCACATTTGTAAAGCTGTTTTTAAAATTTACTTCTCCACAATTTGGTCAAGGTATAATTGGCAAAAAATATCATAGAGTGATTTTTAAAAAATGTCAGTTATCAGAATCTGTAGTTGTATGCTAAGGAAGGTATAAACTAGGGCAATCTTAGGTGAGAGAGAAGGGAATAGAAATCTCCCCACAATAGTTAGACTTAAGATATCATTTGAATGATTAAGTAAATCGAAGGCAGATGCAAAGGAAACCACACAACACATGGAAAAACAAACTCCACTTACCTCTCCCCGTCTGGGATTGTTTGGGATTTTCCCAGACAAGAGCTGACCACTTGTGAAATAGCTTAACTTTGAAGTTTAAGGATGGATGGGATCCCAGTCCAAGGTGGCATGGCTCTGGGTGAGGAAAATTGATATATAAAGAAGGGGAAGCCTTGCAAGGGCAATTTTTGTTCTTTTTGTTGTGGGTTCCTGTGATCATTATGTACTATAGAACGGTATGTGCTCAGGCCAATCTGTACTGCAGGAGACGTGCGCAGGGTCCCGTACAACCCTGTAGTGTACAGCCCAGGGACCATGGAAAAAAATGTGTCTGGAAATCTTCTGCAAAAGGCAGTAGAGGTCATCTGGGGAGGAAGATGTGCCTGTTCATACATGGAGGGGCGGGAGCTGGTAGAATTTTCCAGTAAAGATTAAGCCCACTCAAGCTCCCTTTATCCCTAACACACTGGGACAAACTGATTATTGACTTCATCCATCCTTCTGAGGCTTAAGGGAAGGGTGTGCAGTTTTGATCCAACTCAGTTTTCAGATTTTTTCATTGGTAATGCTTTTAAAAACAGCACTGAGAAGTGATAACTTTGTTTTTATATGTATTTATGGGTATAAATCCTTCTAAGAAGGATAGAGTCTATGTGCCTCCAGGGAAGCTGTGCAGGCTTCCAGGTTGAGCAATCTCAGGGGCCAGAGAGCACTAGGGGTTATCTGACTCGTTGTTAGGGACATGATTTGTTTCCAGGGTGAATGCAAGAGGAAAGGTCAAACCAGGCAGGGGGCTTTTATAGCTAGACAAGCTATAGAATAATTTGCCTATATAGCTCTGCAGTGCTGTGGATTCCTGCAAACTCTTGTCTCCCCTACTTGAACATCAGTGCTGAGAAGCTTCCAGAAGGCACACAGAAATTCTATGACATTGAATAGAGTAACCTATCTTTGGAGAAACAACTTAGAAACATTGGAAAGCACTGGAGTAATCTCAGGTCAATTTGAAATTTACTCAGCTTTAGATCTTTCTAACCTTAAAAGGAAAAAAAAACATATTTCATTAATTTTTCCATGGTAAGTTAATGGAGCCAGTGCATCATAGAGATGCTTAACAAGGCAAGACAAAAAAAGGCTTGGTTGAAGAAGTAAATAAACATTTGACTTCTTTTTTTTTTTTTTTTTTTTACTTGATCTGAAATTGGTTGGAATTGTCCATCTAATGGGTTTTCTGGCAGAATTTAGAATATCTTTGTTGAAGGCAGGCCAAATAAGGAGATAATTTGTTTTGTTTTCTCTGCAATTACTAGAACAATGGACATCTTTTCTGGACTAAATATCAAACCATGTTGTCTTATAAGGATGTGACGGTGGAGCCCAACAATTGAATGGAATGGAGAGAGGGGAGGACCTTGCAGAGCAGAGTGGGAAGGGAAGTCAGGCCCTGGGATTGTAACTCTCTTCTTGTCCCGACCAGCACTCCCTGGAAGACTTTAAGCCTTCCTCTCTCAGCTTCTAGATTAAATTTTATGCTCTGTAAAGTGAATTATCAGGTGATTTCTGAAGCCCAGTCTTCAGTTGACCTCCTGCAATTTTAATGGGAAGATTATTTTCTTATTTGAAATATTAGTTACAACATTGTTGTTTTGAAATAAACCAGTTACTATTGAGAAGGGCTTATAATTTAAAGAAGTAAAAAGCTTTGCTTGATTTCAATTTGGGTTAACTTAGAGCTAACACATAGCAGATCTATCAAGAGACACATTAATAATAAAGTATTTTGATACTCAGTATTTAAGTATTAATACTTTGTGTTTAAATCAAGTATATAACTTATACTTAAATGCTTAGCCTTTAAGTCAATATTCCACTTAAATAAAGCAGAAGTCATCTGGGGAGGATGACTCACCTGCCAGTAGATCAAGAGGTGGAAACCAGTAGGATTTTCCAGTAAAGATTAATCCCACTAAGCTTCTGTTATCCCCAACACACTAGGACAGATGGAACGTCCAGTGATAACTTTTATGTCAGGGGTCACATTACTCTAGAAAAAATAAGCAAATTAATCTCATTCTTATTCTTCCTGCCATATATAAAATCAGCTAAGGAATTTAATATTTAATGGACAAAAATTATACATGCTCATTGTGATGTTTGACATATATATATATATATATATATATATATATATATATATACATTGTACACTGAACTACATCAATCAAATTAATATGAAGATATGAAGATAGTAAGTATGGTTGGCCATCACCAACCATACTTACTATCTTCATATTTCTTCTACCTGTAAGCCCCTTTTATCTACCATTCCACAATCTACTTCTATGAGTTCAACATCTATTAGATTCCATATGTAAGTGAGATTATAATGTATCATCTTTCTGAATTTAAGTTACTTTACTTAGCAACATGTCCTCAAGGTTTATGATATTGCTGAAAATGGCAGAATATTCTTATTTTGATGGCTGAATATTATCCCACTGTGGGGTGTGTATGTGTGTGTGTGTGTGTGTGTGTGTGTGTGTGTGTGTGTGTGTGTATAACCTTTCTTTATCCATTCAGTCATTAACCAACACTCAGGTTGCCTTCATATCTTGGCTATTGGAAAAATTTTCAATGAACATTTGGGTGCAGATAACTCTTCAACAAACCAGTGTCATTTTCTTTAGATATATACCTAGAAGTAGGATTTCTAGATCCTGTTTTAGTTTTTTAGGACTTCCATACCACTTCCATAATGACTATACAAATTTACATTCCAGCTGGGCACAGTGGTGCACACCTGTAATCCCAGCCACTCAGGAGGCTGTGACAAGAGGACTGCTAGTTCAAAGCCAGCCTCAGCAAAAAGTGAAGCACTATGCAGCTCAGTGGTCAAGTGTCCCTGAGTTCAATCCCTGGCACCCCCCCCAAAAAAAATTACATTCCACCTGAAGTGTATAAGGAGGGTCCCCTTTACTCCATATTTTTGCAATACTCATTATCTTTATTCTTTGTACTAATCATTCTGATAGCTGTGAGGTGATATATGATTGTGATTTTTAATTTTTTAATTTGTTCTTTTTAGATATATGTGGTTTTGATTTGCATTTCCCTGATGATTAGTAAGCCAAGCATTTTCTGATCCATTGTTACTCCATTTCACTCCATCCAGAGAACAATAAAATGACTTCTTGGTGGGAAAAGTCCCTCCCCATTCACAGAGGAATTACAAGCAGAATCAATTAGATAATATGGGGTCTCAATTTTATTCAGTTTGTGGTCCCTCATAAATAAAAGATTATAAAATTACAAACATAAAGTTATATATTTATGAGAATAAAGGAAATAGCAACACAAATCAAAATTTTTTAAAATGACTAATAAAATTGTTTGAAACACAATATACTTTTAAAAAACTCTGGAGTAACTTTTTCCTATATTTTTGTTTTCAGAATGTTTTTGTTTTCAGAATAATTTTGTTTTCAGTGCAATAGAATTCTTTGAAGTGTTGAATTATGTTTTGTGATAGAACCATTCTCAGATTTGTAAGTGGACTTTATGATGAGGATATGCAAAAGTTTTGTTTTGGGGATACTTATGTGTTCATCCTGTGCAGCTATGCTAGGGCCACTGTGCATGCCCATTATTCAACTGGAATTTTCTGACATTTTCAAGACAAGGTACTTTAGATCTGAACCATTATGTGTTTATAAACATGAATATTCAAATATACACTACATTCTTCATAAGCTTGTATCTTATAGAAACAGAATTTTGATACATTCTAATTTTTTGTGAATTAGCATCATAATGAAAAAATAGCCTTAGGGACATTTTATAAACATGTAGTCTTCATCACAGTTTATCCCTCCTAGGAGACAGCTTCCTTGTCTTAACAAGGACCAAATTCTTAGCTCTCTCCTTTATCCACTTGATGAGTATAGGAACTTTCCTCAGGCAAACTTCTGACACTGGGTACTTCATACACAGTTTCCTTAATGATACGCACCTGCTTCCAGTGCTGAGTGTTACAGGACAAAATTGTACCACAATGAAAATGCTACACTATATCTTCTTGTCACAATGCCAGCTGTTGATACTTTTGGAGGAAGGAGTATATCTGGAAGCTATTTCCTCATTGGGCCAGCCTGCACTAACTTAGTTAATACCTATGCAAGTGTTTGTGAATGACATGTGTAATCTTAGTACACCTAAACTAAGAATTAGTTATTATCTCTTTAACTGGGTACTAAAAATGCCTCTAAACCACTCCAGTGCCATTCGACATAAGGGCAAGCATGATGCAGCACTCAGTGAAGAAGAAAATAGCATTAACCAGTTGTGATCAAAATAATTTACTTTTACAAATTTTTCAAGACATGGTCATATGAACCTATTAGTAGGGTCCCTACCAGTATCTTAGAAGGTTCTATAGAAGAGTTAGTATGTGAAATTTCAGCTTCATTAACTTCATGGGAAATCCACTGCTGAGAAGAAGATAACTCAACTAGAAGCACTAAACTCAGATATTTGAAAACATAATTGAATAGTTAATATGCTAACATTGAATTTCATTATGTGCCTTTTGGTTGGACTACTTCTGATAGAAAAGGAGAGAAAAATGGATGGTAATACGTCCAATTTCCCAAAGCAATGTTTCATTTTTATGCATAACATTATTTTCCTATCTTGTTTTTCAGATGACAATATGAAAATCAAGTGGATTCAAGAATTGTCTAAATGCCTGAAGCTGAGATGAGACTGGACTTTTAAATTGAGATTCCTCTCAGTTGACCACATAGCTAGTGTCCAAAGAGGCAAAAGTAACATGATATCTGTATTTGTCAGTGCTCAAAAAAAAAAAAAAAAAAAAAACAATGGGAGGTATATAGATACATTTTAAGGAATTGACTTACTTTGAATATGGAGATTTCCAGGTCCTATGATCTGCAGTTGACAAACTGGAAACCAAGGATAGATAATTGTGTACGTTCCCATTTGAAAGGTGGCAAAAAAATAACTGATGTTTCCTTTTGAGACTGAATACTGGTAAAGACTATGATACCAGCTTAAGCAGTCAGGCAGGAGAAGTTCCCAATTAGTCAGTTTGTTCCGTTTGGGGACTTCAACTGACTGGATGAGACTGATCTCCATTGGGAGGTTCATGTTTATAAATGCGTAATGGTTCAGATCTGAATATAATATAACATAATTTAACCAACACAACTACTCATTCAAATGCTGATTTTATCCAGGAATACTCTCACTGATATACCCAGACATGTTTGACCCAATGTCTGAGCATCTTATCACTGACTCGAATTGAAATACAATTAAATAACACAGTGCCCGAATCACTCAATGGTCACATTTTCTCTCTGTTGATCTGAATTTTTGAGAGTTGAGGAATAGTTTTGTTACTTGGTGTAATTTGTTTCAGAATCTTGTTTTTACCATTCACATCTCCATCCCAATTCCTTTCCTGTCATTTAATTGCCATCAATTCTCATGAATGACCCTCATCTTTGTTTACATCACCAGGTATACCTTACAGGGAGAATTTCATGAGAACATGCCATTAGCAATAGCTACTTATACTATAAATTGTCTTTTCCTTCCATCAAAATGGACTTGTGCTCATTCTTTGAATACTGTCATTAGAAAACAATAAATGGTGTTGTACTCCATCTCTAGTGATATCGCTTAATTAGAAAGACCTACCATAGATGCAAAAAGAGTGTTTCATAAGCATTGTCTAAAATGTTTCCATACTTGTACTGGAGATAAACAAGAACATTGCACGCCAACTCTGGTAAGACAATAGCAACAAAGGAAAATCAGGAAGAGAAAGATATGACAGCCCAGACCTTTCCTTTGGCAATGTCATTGGAGTAGAGTACAAGAGATGATCCCTGTCCAACAGGCAAACAAGCAGGAGGGCTGTGTCTGCTCCAATTCTGAGAAACAAGCTTGGGTGACATGGTATGAGTTTGTTGCTAGACTTCCAAAACATTCTTCCAAGGTAGCTGTGACTTGGTAAAATTGATTCTTGAGTTGGTGGATAGAGGTGGATCCTTAAAAGGTGTTGCATTTGGAGTGGAGGTACCAATTCCTTGGTGTAGTGAGAGTGACATTAGATATAAGTGAAATGAGCAAGCTACTCCCTTCCTGCAGGCAAACTGCCTGATTAGGAATAAAAAGGCTTGCCCTTGGATTCCCCTGGGACTGCACAAGTGGTGTGTGGACAGCTCGCATAGCCCGTGGCAAAGGCTTTTCTGTTTCCAGTTTCCTGAAGCAATAATAAACAGATGTTATCTGTTGCAATGAGGACATAGATGTGTGGTTCTTGGAATTATCATGGGAAGGGTGATACCATTAAAGGATGATCTCAGAACTGGGGTAATGTAATTTGCATAATAAAAGCCAAGTGTCTGGATTTGGTACCCTGGTAGGTGAACAATATTATTTCTTTCTGTAATTTATGCATATGCCACTACTTGTGAAATATGAGTAATGATGGATCTGCTGAACTTCAGCAAAAGATTAGTGAGAGCTACCATGGGCTGGCAATTTTATACCATAATTTAACCAATGCAACAATCCTATGGAATGGGATCATCTATTTTATCACTATAAAAATGAGAATATTGAGGAATTTGGGGCCCGATCCCACAGTATGTAGATCATA